TGACATGTCAGCATCTGTTCCTCTCCCCATCAAACAAATGCATCCATCCTCTGTCTCCATATCCATTATCATCCTCCATTATCAATTGCTAGTGTTTACTAAGTCAAACATCACTATTACTAAATTGCTCACACTTAGAGCTCCTGATTAAGGGTGTGTGATATTTATCGTCTATGATAATATGAAAAGTGTTGTGTTAACGATGTGTGAGCTGACATTATCGAGTATACCACTCACTTTACAAGTAAGAGTGACATTTTCCAGAAATTAAGCGCGTGAGCACGATCGCAAATGAGATTGATTTTAAACGACAGTTCAACAAACAAGAAATTATTATTGAGTGAGTTACATTTTTGTCAACAAAAATAGTTCCAAAAAAGTCAATCAGAACATTTAATCTCAGAGCAACACTGTGGTGTTTCATTCCTTAATGAATCTGTTTTTGAACTAACCATTTGAGTCAGTGATTCAGTGATCCATTCATAACTAGACAGTCACTTGCTTCAATTCTAAATGAATCAGCCATGTTGAATGAATCGTTTGAATGAATGATCAATGAATCACTCGTCCGCCACCTACTGGCAGTTTTAGCATCATAAATATGCATGACAGGCCTAAACCAGCCAAATTACCAGCACCAAAACACACTCAACAAAATATTGTTTAATTATCATTATCGACAAACTAATCCCAAATACTGAGATTTGATTTGTTGTCAATATTACACACCCCTACTTCTGAAATGCTAAAACAAATCCCTCAAAACATTGTACAGCAATGCCTTGACCACCACTAACAACAGTCACTGTATAGCAAAGTGCAAGTACCACTCATTCTCAGTTGACATCTCAGTTTGTTCTAGAAATATGAGATTAAATTGTGAGCAAATGGCGATGTTTGCTGACTTTGCGGAAAACAGCTATACGTCTGTCTGTTGAAGATCTCAACAGTGTCTCAAACTGTGCTCAGATTTGCCAAAAACAACTCATTTAACAGCTGAACGATAGGTGCCAGAAATCAAAACAGCCATGAGCTGAGAAAAGCCAAATATACAGGAGTAACCAGAGAATGGTGAAGCTGATGTGAGAAAAAAAAGAGAGATGCAGAACGTGTCAGCCAGGCAGGGGAATGTGTGTTTTGCTGGTGTGTTTTGACATTCCCAGCGATGAGCCAGACCACTTTGCCTTTGTTCTCCTGGGTGATCTTTATCACTGCCAATTGTTCACAGAGTTCCTCAAACTTGGAATTGGATTTAAATGGCATGTGACATCCAGCGAGAAGCAAAGATAAGAAACATGAAGTATTCTGAAGAAAACTACAGGGGAAAAAAATGGTTGCATTAAGAAATTTTAACATCCATGCAATTTTTCCATTGCACAAAAGGTTATTTATAGTGGAATAAGGTTATTTAGACTATTAAAACATTCTTCACATTAAGAAAAAAATATTGTTCTTTTAAGAACTGATTATTTAAAGGTGATTTGGGGAACTAAAAAAAAATGGTTATTTTATGGTATCGCTATGAAAACCTCCTCTTGGGACCCTAATTTTCATGAGCATAAGGTAGAGTGAGAGCTAATTCAGTATAATGTATAAAATATCAAGTCATTATATAATATTATTCTCACTGTAATTCTTGTGAATCTCAGTTTTGTTTTTAGAACTGTTCACTGAAAGGTTTTTTGGGGAACCAAAAATGCTGCTTCTATGGCATCACTGTGAAAACCTCCCTTTCGAACCTTTATTTTAAGAGTGTAAGGTAGTGTGAGAGCTAATTCGGAGCACGTAACCACAAAAAGTACCTTTGCCATCTTTGCAACACCTTATACAACCCAAAACAGCAACTATTCCAGAGTTCCCCATCTGAAGTCCTTGAACCAAACTACAAATTGTCTGAAAAAAAAAAAAAAAACACTCTATTGGGCGACCGTGCAACCACATAATTCAAACAATGTGATTGTTTGAGCCAGTGTTGTTCTGATGAGATTGGCAGCGGATGGTGGCTGGCCTGCATTTGGAGTGATGTCTTTTGGTGAGGTTTAGCAAAGAAATGCCACACTCCTTCGTTGAATAACAAGATCAGGCAAACTATGCAAGCCATGTATAAACAGACTGTATTACAAACAAAACAATCAGCCGGTGGTTATTGAAATATGGATTTCCAAGCAAAGGAAGAGTCAAAGTGTCGAAACCGTGCCGTGCCGTGTAAAGAAATGTCTCTCTGGAAGCGGGGAAAATACATTTCTGGCATTCTTCCGTTGTCTTATGCGTAGTCAGAGCGCATATCCATTTCATCAGATACATCAAATTCATCTGATGGCAGCAGTGCTTGTTATAAAAAAAGCTGGAATGAAGAAATGTCTGCTCTGACTGGCAACTTAGGGTTGGATGCATGCAATGTTGGTTTACGGTATGACCGCACAACAGCATTTCTCGTAATGAAGGAACTGAAATAAATATTTAAAATGTGCTTTTTGACTTAATCTGATGCTGGCACATTGCATATAAACTTGGACAGTATTGTATGCAAATCTACTTAATTCGTGGTTACAGTAAACTTGACGTACTGTACCATACAGCTGTACCAATATTTGGAGCTATACTGAGGTTATGAGGCATGTTTAAGAGCGTTTATTATTTAAGTCATAAAATATGAGAGGCTATTGTGAATATAGTCATCACAAATGGCCGTCATTTTTGTTTCACCTTCATCTGGGACTATATTCACAATACAGCATGGTCTTGAGTACTCAATATCTACCAAAATTTTAACATTGTTATACAACAAGTATGACACACACAGTTTTTGTGCAGCAACACGTTTCATTTCATAGCTCGTACTCCATAGTATGGCCGAAATCATGTGGACATCCCTTTCTAATTAATGGGTTTGGGTAATCCAGTAATTCCCAGTAATGACATGCAGTTGCATTCTACAAAAGTGTGTGCTTTCAGCTTTGTTGCAACAGCTTGGGAAGATCGGCAATAGTAATTAAATATAAGGGGCCAAGCACTACAGGGGCAAAATGATGTGCAAGCAAGCACTGAGCATCAGACCAACTTCAAAAATTAGTAAATAAAGGCATTTGGAAATGACTTTTTTACCAAAATTGTTGAAATCCCATAAATACAATCACTTTCAGTGTGACATAATTGCTTATTAGTTGTGACCAATAGGTGGCGCTGACTCCAAATTTGTCTGGTGTGATCAGTGTTGGTTGACAATGACACACACCAAGTTTGGTGTCAATATGTCAAAGCCTTGCAGGGATACAGCCCCAGATGCAGTTTGGCATCACACCATCAAATTAATTGTTGTGGTAAAAGAAAACAATGTTGTCTGTCAATGTGAAATCCATAACAGTTTGCCAGAATTGTATGAAGATGATCTGATTCAAATTTGGTGAAAATCGCACCCATGGTCTAGTAATAGTTTTTTTTTTTTTTTATGTCAATTTTTAAGTAAAATCAAAATGGCAGCGAGGACTATGGCATAATTGGTATCTATGTTCTCAGTATGACCCAAAGAATCTTGATTAAGACCACTTTCATGACAATAGTTCAAATTAATCAAAATGTATTAGCATTTGTTAAGATTTAAGACAGGTGGCGCTGTTCCAAAACTGTTTGAGTACCTTCAGGGCATGGTGGCAATGACACATTTTGAGTTTCGCAACGATTCGCCAATGCATTCTTACAATACAGCATTTTATGACATAACTCAAATTGTTTGAAGGACATGGCAAAATTGGGTGTTGTTCGACTCAATAATTTGCACCGGAACTAAAGAGGCCAGTCTTGTGCTTTTTGGCCAAACTGTAATTCAAAATGGCGGAACATTTTTCATGACTGAAAATAGAGTGAGAAAAAATAATTTTGTTTTGAGTATAAACGTGAGTGCAACTTTGGACAGCTGATGGCGCTAGAGGAATTGAGTAAGAGACTACAAATTTGTTGTGGCTAATGTTCAGACTGTTTGAAAAACCTCCCCAACTCTGATGCACAGAGCAATCCAGAGATCTGACTATGAATCTTGTAGGGTGGTTGTCATCAAGAACTAGTGTTTCAAGAGCCATTAAGAACAAACTAACAAACATGACGTGACAGTTGCACTGGAGTAAGATAACATTTCATACAGTACTTTTTGAGTTGGGAAGATATTTGCAAGTAATGTAGGCTTGATTTGTTTTCCCTTCTTCTACTTCCTTTCACCTCTCGCAAGTGGAAAGAGTAAAATGGTGACTGAGGTGGAGTGGTCTACGAGTTCCATGATATTTAGACCTATTTTTAACCTGTTTATATGGTTTGTTTATCCCTGCACAGCATCCATAGAGGCCACATTTTTCTCTTTGATTTTTTTTCTACACTTAGTGCAAATAGCCTCTGCCTAATAACAATAACTAGGCATAGTTAGTTAGACTACACATAGGCGGTCAAACGTACTTAACTAGTAAGGATCAGTCACCTCAATGACCCGACCTGTTCATGCCAGCTGATGGTGGGCGGTTTTTCCCTGTGATTAGCAGTGGAGCCAGGGTTGTTTAGCGCACATGGTGCTGGGTGGTCTGAGAAAATGCTGAGCAGCAGTTTTAATGTGTTTTGTATTTGCCAAACGGAACTCCGTCATTAGAGGAAGTGGGAGTCCCATTTAAGCTGCTATTAGTTGTAATGGCCAGGGTTTTTTTTGCTTGTCGGGCACGCAATTTCCTAATGTAACAGAATCCACTGGAATCCCTACACTCCTGCCTGTGTGTTTTTAGTGGTCTGAGGCTCATAAACAAGAACTCCAGAAACACTCTTTCAGGGACACCTTTCGGTTTTAATGATTTTGTCGCATGATGTCATGTTTATTTTGGCTAATCCCAAAGTTATTTTGTGCTTTTTCAGCTCTATTTGTGCAAATGTCTGTTTGTGTTTCAGTTGCATGGAACTTAAAGACAGAGATTAGGAAACACACTGAAGCAGACTTTTTCTCACATCCACCCCGTCCTCTCTTCTAGGTTCACTCTGTATGCAGTCGACAGCCGTGGTAGTCGGTCGGATGCAAGTTTTGTGACCGTCCGCACATCATGTCCGATGGTGGATGATAGCAAAGCAGAAGGTACACTGCCATTCTCCTTCACTCCATTCACACGTGTGAATGAACAGAGTGAGCCGCGCGCCAGTGAAATGTCATCTTCACACCCATCTGAGGTGGCAGATCTTCATGTCCTGTCTGTTTATGATTACATCATCCATAGTGGCTAGACCATTTTACTTGAATATAATTCACAGGTCTGGCAGCAGTATGAATCACAGGGATGTACAGCACTCAAAATCCATGTCAGTGCAGAAGTAAGATTACAGAAAGTTCACTCGAAGGGAAACATAGGACTTGCGTTGCAAGTTATAATGTGATAATATATGTTAAGAAAGAATAAAAAGCATGTTATGAAATCTGATCTTTGGTTCTCATTTTCTTGTGAAAAAGAAGTGTGCTTAATTATATTGAATATGCACTTGTAGTGTACTTCAAATCCTAAAAGTATATTTAAAAAGCTGAATATCTAGATATGATCTTAATGAAATATAATGCAACTTAAGTGCATTTAAAGAGAGACGGTTTCTTAACCCATTTAAGTACACTACTAAAAAGTGCACTTTGTAATGATGTCAAATTAAACGTTTTAGAATAAAGTACATTTTAAATAATTGTTTTAATAATCGTGTCATGCTTTAAAGAAGCTAAAGCGCTTGAGTATAATTTTAACTGTAGTGTGTTATTCAATATTAAATTTAAAGTTAAAAGTACTAAATTGCAGCTACAAATGTATAATACAAAATATATTTAAATAGATAATATACAAGTTTGAGTAGAAAAGACATTCAAGTATATTTTAGTTTACCATAAATGCTTGTCAGTACATTCAGCAGTCAATTTTAATCATATTTCAAACACAATGAAAGTAATTCTGAAATTAAATATAATAATGTACTTAAGTCCAACTTAAGTGGGAATAATATAAATATAAACTATAATACACTTTCATTTAATTGCATTTAACATGCAGTTGCACATTTAGTTCACACTTAAGCATATTCTTTTAAAGTATATACTTTTCCTAATAACTATTATTTTTAAAAGTGTGCTAAAGTGCACTTCTTTTTCACAAGGTTTCAAAATAAATAAAAAACAGGCAGTCCTTTGTCAGTCATTAAAAATAAGAGAAAACATCTGAAACGATCGGATTTTCTTAGAAAGCTTGTTCTTTGAAAACAGACAGTTCAGATTTCAAATGTCAGATATGCTTTCCCCTCAAACAGAGATCGCAGACAAAGTGTACAACCTCTATAATGGCTACACCAGTGGAAAGGAGCAACAGACGGCCTACAACACCCTGATGGAGATCTCCCCCCCACTGCTGTATCGTGTACAACATCACTACAATTCCCACTACGAGAAGTTTGGAGACTTTGTGTGGAGAAGTGAGGATGAGCTTGGCCCCAGGTGAGGAAGACAATGACCGAACAAAGCAGTGCTCCTGATGATAGCGCTGCAGTACTTTGTCAGTCCTTTGCTTTCTTTCTCTCAGAGACTAACCTCCATCTCCCACCATTTACTCATTTCTTTACTAAGGACAATCAAGGTAACACTTTAGATACGGGAGCACTACTCACTAACTAGTTGCTTATTAGCATGCATAGTATTATCATATTGGCTGTTTATTAGTACCTATAAAGCACAGATTAATGCATGACCATATTCTGGATCCCTTAACACTACCCAGCAAATGAGGAGTTTATTGAAGGAAAACGCTTAGTTAATAGTGAATATGTGTTCCCTAATCTAAAGTGTTATCCAATCTAATCAGATAGAAAAAAAAAAGAAGTAATTTTTAAAGCACAAATGGCATATGCGACCCTGGACCACAAAACCAGTCATAAGGGTCAATTTCTCGAAACTGAGATTTATACAAAGCTGAATAAATAAGCTTCCCATTGATGTATGGTTTGTTAGGATAGGACAACATTTGGCTGAGATA